TCCCTTCATCCTTCTCTCCCCTGAAGCCCTGGCAAGCACTGATCTTTTTACTGTCTTTGTAGTTTTGCTTTTTTCTAGAATGTTATATAGTTGGAATGATACAGTATGTGGTTCTTTCAGATTGGCTTCTTTTACTTAGTAATAGGCCTTCAAGTTTCCTCCAGGTCTTTTCATGTCTTGAAGCTCATTTCTTTTTAGCTCTAATATTCATTCCCCCCAAAAGACAGTTTTATATATATATATCTTCTTTCTCAATCTGTATGCTTTTTATTTCCTTTTTAAAAAATCCTCACCTGAGGATATGTTTATTGATTTGAGAGAGAGAAAGAAACATCCATGTGAGAGAGAAATACAGATCGGTTGTCTCCCGTATATGCTCCTGACCAGGGATCAAACCTGCAACCTTTTGGTGTACAGGATGGTGCTCCAACCAACTGAGCCACCCAGCCAGGGCTTTTTTATTTCCTTTTATTGTATGAGAGGGGACATCCTTGTTTATTCATGATCTCAGTGGAAAGCTTCAATTTTCTCACAATTAAGTATGATGTTAGCTATAGGTTTTTTTGTACATATGCTTTATCAACTGGAAGAAGTCCTCCTCTATTCCTTGTTTATTGAGAGTTTGTTTTTTTTTAATCAGGAATGGTGTTGTATTTTACCAAATGCTTTTTCTGCATCCATTGATATGATATGATTTTTCTTTTTTAGAATTCTGTTGATTTTTTTAAGACTTTTATTTATGTCTTAGACAGAGAGGGGAAGGGAGGGAGAAAGAGAGGGAGAGAAGCATCAATGTGTGACTGTCTCCCATACACCCCAAACTAGAGACCTGGCCCGCAACCCAAGCATGTGCCCTTACTGGGGATCGAACCCACAACCTCCTGGTTTGCAGGCCAGTGTTCAATTTACTGAGCCACACCAGCCAGGGCTGTTGATTTTTTTTTTAGAAGTCTCATTTCAACTACCTACCTATCTGTGAATCTGTAGTTATTTCAAAATGAAAAAAATTTAATGTAAAAATAAGTAATTCAAGGACACTTTTGTTTTTGAAATATATAAATGCATGAATATATTTTCATGAAAATTCAAATAATGTAAACATTTGGTAAAAAGGGAAAATAACAAATAATTAATACTCAGAATAACCAATTTTTCCTTTCCTTGCCTCATGAAAGCAAATAATCAGTATTTTTCAGTGTGTGTATAGTACTTACTATGGATTTATATCTATAATGACAGTTAACTGATACAGACATGATTAGACTATGCTATATCTTTACACCCTACTTTCTTGATAGTGGTAGAGCATGAAGTGGGAAATTCAAGACAACTGAGTATACCATACAGGCTTCATCTGTTCCTAGGCATTGAATGCTGCATCTGATTAGCAAATACTGATCCAGGAAGTGTATATAAACAGAAAATGATTAATTTGGCTAGATATATGAAGGAAAATAATATAATATTGCCTCTACATTTATACTATTTTACAGCTTCATTTATTGTTACGTGTTAGGACAAGATGATTATTGCTTAGATATGTAGTTACGTTAAACAAATTGGTTTTAGTGTTTATCATAACCAAATACCAACTTTTTAAAGTGAGGAGAGCAATTTTTTTTAAAGATTCATGTCTAATCACTGTACCTGGCTAAGAATGTCCCTTAAAAGAGCTCATTGACCACACTTGACTGAACAAAATTTGTCTAGCTGAGGACAAATTTAGAACAACAACATGTAAATGATCAGGTCTCTGTACTGTGTGATCTGTGACAATATAATGCCAGGCTATACTGTTTCTTGTTGTACTCTTTGTTCCATTCCTACTTTTCTACATTATTTATGAAGAATTCAAAACTTTGTACAGATATATTGCTGATACTGATTCTACAAATAGCATTTAAAAGGCTACAAACTCTGTTTTACAAAATAAATTTTCTTTTTTTTTGACCAGTGTAGTTTAGTTAGAATTCTTGCTAGAACACTTTTATATTGTATAAGAATTTGTTGAATCATAATTTGAAAGTTACTCTTAAAAATAGCAAATTACAATTGACCTATACTATTGTCAGCATCATAAAATAGTTCTTGAAAAGTAGGCTGAAGTTATTTTAAGAAAAATATTATTTAGTGAAAACTGAGGGATATTAGAGATATCATATAATTCAGTCCCCTCTGATTGTACCTTTATTGCTTTGATAATCAATTCAGCAGGGCAGGGGAGAGGGAAACACAGGGGAGGTTGAATTTGTCTTTTTTTTTTTCTGTAAGAATTTTAGGTTTTAACCACCAAGTTATTTAGTAATATCATTAAAATTTTTACATGTATTCAGGCTTCTAGCTACTTTACAGTTGTAAAAGAGATCCAGGAAGAGCAAAAATTTTAGTTTTGTATTTTTTTTCACAAGGATATACCTTTTCTTTTTCTTTTTTTTTAATTAAATGAGGCACTTATTTATGTATGCTCTATGTATTTCCAGGTACAGTTAGATCCCTATTCATTAACTCAGTGTTCAATGCAAAATTCTAGTCAAAATGGATAACAGAAGAAGAGAAGAGGGAAAAATTAGGATGTCTTGGTTGTGGAAAACAAGAGATAAGGAGTTTATAAATCCATCTGACCTTTCTGACAATTGAGACAAAAAAGGGAAAAAGAGTAGGTTATGTAACTTCAATATCTGGTAGTAGGTAAGGAACATTTAAATTGAGTCAAGAAATGGAGTGGGACAGGAGAAAGGAATTATGCCTCATAGATAGTTATGTTTTTTTATATTACAGAGTTTTTGTTCATAGTTTGAATCATGTGTTGTATATACTTTGTATAGAAATATATTTGACTTTAATTTCTATAATGGGTAAACTTTTCAAATTAGGAGATAATCTAAGGAAATACTGGTATTAAATGTGTAAGATAATTTGTAAGTATAATTAAGCTTGTCATTAAAGGAATTTGAATATTTGAGTACATGTGCTAAAAATATGACAGAATGATAATTAGGTTAATGTCCTAGAATTATTTTTTTTACTGTATTTTCTGGCCATTTAGCTGATATTAATAAATATCTTCTAGAAGACTGCCTGAAGTGATTTTAAATTGTAAAAATCAAGTCACATTTATTTTTCAGTAATTATTGTCTGTGATTACTAAATTTAGTAATTCATGTCTGTGTCCAAAAAGATCAGTATAAGATGCTTGAGAATTCTGTATTACCTACTTGTGAATACCCTACTGGCCTAGTTTAATACTTTGGAAGATGACAGCTCTAGGAGTCCAGATGGGCTTGAGCGCAGAGTTATTGGCTTTTTCAGTTATTCTCCAAGTTTGAGCCTTAGTTTTGTATGTTCAGAAACATCATTTCAATGAATTATCTCCAGTCCTAAGGTGCTAGTGAATTAAGCCATTCCAAATAAGATACACCCAAAATGAAAAAGTAAATCAGAAGCCCGTTAGGAATATATATAGGTCAAGTATAATAGACTGTTGTTCTGACTAGTTGAACACATTAGAAAAGTCTACTTTAAGAAACCAAATAAAGATTAACTATTGCTTTTGATAACCTTTTACTTATTTGGTATTCTCAGTAATATTGGTAAATATTTGTTAGATGATAAATTATGTGGCAAATGTTCTCTTGAAATTTAAATCAGAGTATGTATACAAAGAAAGCTTGGTTGGCATTGAAATGAAATTGGGTTGACCCTTAAGTATGAGGGATTATTGAGCATTTCTTCTTATGGCTATCATATTGATATTTTAGTAACAGAAAGTCATTTTCTTTTTGCTCACTAGTAGCCATGGTCTTTTTTTTTTAACTTTAGATTTCATTCATTTATTTCTAGAGTGAGGAGAAGGGAGGGAGAAAAAGAGGGAGAAAAACATTGATGTGTGGGAGAAACATGCATGGATCGGTTGCTTTTCACATGCCCCCAACTGGGGACCTGGCCCACAACCAAGGTGTGTTACATGACCTGGAATCAAACCTGTAAGCTTTCAGTTTGCAGAACAATGTCCAACCTACTAGCCATACCAGTTAGGGCTAGCCTTAGTTTTTAAAAACAAATATATTAAGGTATAACTTTTGCCCCAGCTGGTGTAGCTTGATGGATTGAGTGTGGACCTGTGAACGAAAGGGTTGCCAGTTCAGTTCCCAGTCAGGGCACATGCCTGGGTTGCAGGCCATGCCCCCAGTTGGGGGGGTGTGAGAGGCAACTGCACATTGATGTTTCTCTCCCTGCCTTCACTTCCTTCCCCTCTCTCTAAAAATAAATAAATCTTTTATTTTTTAAACTGTTTTTCATTTTTTAAAATATTTTTTGTTTATTTATTTCAGATAGAGGAGAAGGGAAGGATAAAGAGAGGGAGAGAAACATCCATGTGTGGTTGCCTCTCATGCACCCCACACTGGGGACCTGGTCTGCAACTCAGGCATGTGCCCTGACTGGGAATCGAACCAGCGACCCTTTGGTTTGTAGGCCCGGCCTCAACCCACTGAGCTACACCAGCCAGGACTAAATAAAATCTTTCAAAAATTAAAAAGGATATAATTTATGTATCATGAAATTCACTCATTTTAAGTGAACAATTATTTTTTGTAAATATAGAGAGTTGTGCAAGTATTATCATAGTCTAATTTTAGAACAGTTCTGTCTCCCTCCAAAGGAAACTGTAATCACTCTCCTCATCCTTAGTTTACCATGCCTAATTATATAGGTTTAGCTTCCTACAACTAATTGTAAAATATGATAAAAATAAATACTGTAGAATTTCCCAAAATTATTTGGTCCTCTAGGCTGGTTCATTTGTTTGTTTTAGAGGTTTGATAATTTAGAGCATGGACTTTTTTTTAATATTTCTTTATTCAGACACCAAAATTATGTAATAGGAAAAAGTGATGAAAAGAATTTGTGTTAGAGGTGAATTGTCTTAAGATTTTATATAATAATGCTTTGCAAATTTATCATGAAATTAATTTGCTATTCTTTTATTTTCTTTAATTTAGCTTCTCAGAATCAAGAACGTCTGTGTGCATTTAAAGATCCCTATCAAGACCTTGGGATAGGTGAGAGTCGAATCTCTCATGAAAATGGAACCATATTATGTTCAAAAGGTAGCACCTGCTATGGTCTCTGGGAAAAATCAAAAGGGGACATAAATCTTGTAAAACAAGGCAAGTAATACTTTTCTTATCTGAAATAACCTTGTGTTTCATACAATCAAAGTTTATCTGAAAAGCGTGGAGGTAGATTAAAACCTTCTCCTGAAATGCAAATATTTTAGAAGCATGTATCTATGTATATATTTATCCACAAATTCCAGATTTGTAAATGGACATTGACTTTTAGCTTAGTTTAATAACACCTTTCTTATTATGATGATATTAATATATCCCTATTGTATGATGTTTACAAAATACAGAGAACTAGGAAAAACAAATATCTACTATTCCATACTCTTAAGAATTCTTTTTACTCTGTTCTATTAGGTGTGTTTAGATGTTCCTCTATGTTTACACGTGTGTGTATTTTTTTTTCAGTTAGGATAATACTGCATGAATTGTTTCATACCCATTTTTTCTATCTTAAGTTATATCATGAATGGTTCCCCATTTAAAATAAACATTTTTAACCCCTGCACAATGTTCCATTGTTTACACATATCACATTTTACTTATGTATTACTCTGTTGTTGGTCATTATGTTGTTTTCTGGTTTTCACTGTAATACAGACTACTTTAGCAAACATCTTTGAACATAAACTTTGGATTTTATCTGATTATTTCTGTGTGATAGATACCTTGGAGTAAATTATTAGATTATAAAACATGAATATTTTAAAGGCTGTTCATAAAAATTTTTATGTGGCTTTTTAGAAATGCTATTTATATTTACATTCCCTCGAGAGTGATATGAAATCCTTGTTACAATTATATATCATTATCTTTTAAACCTAGATCAATTTAATGTAGACAAAAATGAAACCTTACTGCTGCTTTAATAATTCTTGTATTAATGATGAAGTTTAACAGTTTGTTGTTGGCAAAGTGTTGGCATCATGAAATGCCTATTTATACTTTGCCATTTTCCTGTTATTTAAAAAAATGTGTCTCCTATTGATTTGCAAGAGTGTTTTATAACTGAAGTATTCTGTCACATTAGATGCAACTATTTCAGTTATTTTTTAGTTTATTTTCATTTTACTTTTGCTTGTATTGTCTCTTAACGTGTCTCTAAATATGTCTCTTAACATGTTTACATTAATATCAATTTGTAGGATGTTGGTCTCACATTGGAGATCCCCAGGAGTGTCACTATGAAGAATGCGTAGTAACTACCACTCCTCCCTCAATTCAGAATGGAACATACCGTTTCTGCTGCTGTAGCACAGACTTGTGTAATGTCAACTTTACTGAAAATTTTCCACCTCCAGATACAACACCACTTAGTAAGTAAAGTAACTTACTTTTCCTTGTAATTCCTTTCTCCCATGATTTGCAAACTTTAAAAATATATAGAAACATCCAGGTTTGGCAGGAGTGAGAGGGAGAGTTCCAGCATCATGAGACTATATCTAGCTAACACCTGAAATCTAAAAGCGGTGCACCAGGATTTCTAAGGTATTGATATATTACCAAGTGAATCATTATGTAGTACATTCCAGCTCCTGTGGAAGGGAATTTGGGTGGTATTAAGAAAACTGCACATGTGCTTACTCTTTCATCTAGCACTCCCATTTGTAGGTATTTATCTTGCAGATACACCCCCAACAGTATAAAAATATATATGCATAGAGTTATAGCTGTACAATATTGGGAGCTATCAAAATGTCCAAGAATAGGAGATTACTTGAAATATATTATGGTATGTACCTGTAATGGAGTGCTAACTATACAACTAACTAGCTTTGAGAAAAATGACTTAAAATAGCCTAAAATCTGGCCATTTCATCTCATCCTTGCCAGTTTCTGTTGATACTGACAATTCTGTTGATAGGGATGACTGGAGCTACATTTTAAGTAGTAACTTGATATGCATTGTCAGATTAAAACAATTTTTTTAACCTTGGCCCTTTCCAAGGAGACACTGTTAATATCTTTCAGTAAAAGTTAAATATTCATTTCATAATGTGTAAATTATACCTTAATAAAGGTGTTACAATAAAATGTTTAGTACTTATTCTCTGAGACCAGTGTTCACTGAAACATTATCTCCATATCTCACATTACCTTTTTCCAGTGGCTGTTGGTAAAGCCTTGCATTTGCGTAACATTTTATACTTTCAAAGTGCTGTCACATGTATAAAATCTTTCAAGATGTTTCCTTGTATTTAGGTAGTTTGTCAGAATAAGCCCTTCTGTCCTAATGAATAACCATACTACTCAGGAAGAATGGTTATTTAAGTGGTTTTCTTTCTCCAGGAGATTTGACTTACAGCTTATCTTTCTTAACCTTTGGCTATCATTGTATTGATATACAATAAATATCAAGCTTTAATATTTTGGGTCCCAACAAAAAAATTTTTTTAAGTTTAAAGTTTGAAATTATTTCTCCCTGGCTGGTGTGGCTCAGTGGGTTGAGTGCTGACCTGCAAACCAAAGGGTCACCAGTTTGATACCCAGTCAGGGCACATGCCTGGGTTGCAGGCCAGGTCCTGGGTGCGGGGTGCATGAGAGGCAACCACACTTTGTTTCTCTTCCTCTCTTTCTCCCTCCCTTCACCTCTGTCTAAAAATAAATAAGTAAAATCTTTAAAAATTTTTTGAAATTATTTCAAACTTATAAAAACTCCCCTATACCCTTTCCCCAGATGCATCAAATGTAACATTTTGCTATATTTGCCTATTCTTCTTCTCTCTCTCTCCACACACACACACACACACACACACACACACACACTTTTTTTTCTGCACTTTCTGCAAATAAGTTGCAGGCATCATATCTAAATGTTTACATATTTTGTAATTATCTCTTTGTTTCTTCTATTAAACTCTTAAGTCTTTGATGATAGGGACTTATTTTTTAAGGGACTTATTCTCTTTTACTCAACAGTGTCACTGTAGTGTCAGACACATAGTGGGAGTGCATTGCTTGTTGAATAAATAATAAACAAAGGGATATGTGCTTATGTGTAAATTCTGAAATACAGTCGTGGACTGCCTATCAACGGAGATATGTTCTAAGAAATGCATCATTAGGTGATTTTGTTGTGTGGCAATCATAGGGCAGTTATGCAAACCTAGATGGTTAACCACACCTAGACGGTTTGGTATAGCCTGTTGCTCCTAGGCTACCAAAGCTGTATAGCATGTTACTGTACTAAATACTGTAGGCAGTTGTGACACAATTATAAGTATTTATTTATTTATTTATTCTAAGGATTTTATTTTTATTTTTAGAGAGAGAAGGGAGGGAGAAAGAGAGAGAGAGAAACATCAATGTGCGGTTGCTGGGGGCCATGGCCTGCAACCCAGGCATGTGCCCTGACTGGGAATCGAAACTGCGATGTTTTGGTTCACAGTCCCTGCTCAATCCACTGAGCTACGCCAGCCAGGGCCAATTGTAAGTATTTATATAATTAAACACAGAAAAGGTAGAGTAAAAATATGGTAGAAAAGCTAAAAAACATGACATAACTGTATAGGGCCCTTACCAGGAATGCTTCCTCACTCGGTGAGTCAGTGAGTGATGAATGAATGTGAAGGCCTAGGACTATTGTACATTACCGTAGATTTCATAAACACTGTATACTTAGGCTACATTCAATTTATAAAACAACAAGAGATTAGATCAAGCACAAGAGAAATGATGTAATCAAAAGACCTATTAAATAGGAGATGTATGAGGCTACTGCTAGTGCAACATGGCATACTGTTTTAAAACAAGCTTTTTTTATGAGCAGAAAAAAACACTTTAAAATAAAAAGTATAATAAATATATAAACCAGTAATAGTCATTTATTACCATGATTGTATATTAGTACTGTACATAAGCACATGTGCTACACTTTGATATGGCTGGCAGTATAGTAGGTTTGTTTATACCAGCACTCCACAAACATGTGAGTAATAGGTGGTGCTATGATATTTTGACAGCTAAGATGTCAGTAGGTGATAGGAATTTTTCAGCTCCATTATAATCTTATGGAACTACCATTGTATATCATTAGGTCCATTGTTGACCAAAGCATTGTTGTGCAGCACATGACTGTATTGTAAAATGCTTGAAAAGAATAAGCTTTTTTCTTACATCTAGCAAGAAATGAATTTAATGGATTCATTTACTAATGGACAAGGTGTTTATTGGAAGCTGGTTTCTACTGTCAGTTAAAAGCACAAATGCAAAAAAAAAAAGCACAAATCCAACAAAATAGTTCATGAGATAGCAAGTGCAGACAAAACAAAAATATTGCTAACTCCCTTATTTTGTAATCATTATAGCAAAAGTATAAAAAAGCTAGCCCTGGCTGGGTAGCTCACATAGTCAGAGTGTCATCCTGATATACCAAGGTTGCAGTTCCAGCTCTGGTCAGGGCACATACAAGAAGCAACCAATGAAAGCATAAATAAGTGAACAAGAAAAATGATGTTTCTGTCTGTCTCTCTAAAATACCAGTTTTATAAAAAGTACATGAAATTCATAATCATTCCTGTTCTTTCACCTCTCTCACCAAAATGAAGCATTTTGAGATTGCTTCATTAAAATCTAAAAATAGATTTTAATTTTTAAAGTAATTCAGGAATATAGAAAACTTTTCCTAAGTAGATGCTGTTAACACGATCTCATTTTCAAAGAAGCTTACTCCAAAAGTACAATTGGAGCGTATTTTCATTCATTAAAATGATAAGTAGGTTACTGCTTTTTTTAAAGGCCACACAGTAAGGTTATGCTGTAGTGTAGCAATTTTCAACTGGTATGCCACAAGAATTTTTAAAACATGTAATACCTGACTATGTAGTAAGAGGCATGGACCTCTTTTTCCTTAGATTGTTAAATTAAAAAATTACAACAGCCAACACTACAATAGCTGTTCAGTGTGAATGAATCAAAATTATACTTGTTGTTTGGTCAGGTCAGCAAAAAATACATGTTTTCATGTGCTTTAGAATTTAGTATAATTAGTTTATGTGTGCCATGAGATGAAAAGAGTTGGAAATTGTTGCTCTAGGGAAAAATAGAGGGTACATAATGTTCTCTGTTAACCCTACTCATGTCTCTCTAGATTGTTTTCAGAAGAGCAGTTTACTTCCTGATCAAGCCATTCATTGCATTGCTGGAATTACATCTTTCTCATCAAGCATGCATTTACAGTATCACCACATTTGTTTGCCTTCTTACTGCTATAATGTACATTGAGTGGGGTTAGACCTAGCAACAGTGAAGGAATGTATGGATTACTGAGACTAACAAGATATAGCTCTCTTTCCTCAGAAAATTATTTTTTTCCACCTTCAGTTGCAGGTTAAGACCATGAGGTACTTAAGTGATATAAACTAAAGCATATGATAGCAGTGGATCTTTAAGAATAATGTGGGGGGAAGTTGACAGGGAAAATCTGACCAACTAATCATATGACCATAAGTGAATGTAGGTATTTTGCTGAGGCACAGAATCCCACAGTAACAATCATTCAAGGGTTACGCTGATGTAGAGTTAGAGGACTCGAGAAAGGTTACTCCACCTCTCTGACGCTCTAAAATTATTTTTCTTTTAATTTCAGATATTATGTAGTCTTACAAAACTGTCTTGCATTGTTTTTTTTTTTTGTAGGCAATTAGGGCACAAATAAATGAAATCTCCATAGGCTATTCATTCTGGCTGTTTCCTAAAAAAATTGAGCAGAATGGGAAGTCTACTGATGCTTTTGTTGAGATAAGAACACAATGTCTGTTTTAAAATAATTAAATAATTAATTAATAATGTTGGAAAAAGGAATATAAGCCATTGTTATGTGCCATAAAAATTAAGGTTCTATTTGGGCTATAGATCACTAATGATTGGCCAGTAAAGACACTACCTCTCTGTTCTCAAAAAAGCTTTCTCCTTCAATCCCAGCATTTTAGTTTTCCTCTATTTAGAAGAATTATTATCCTCTAAGAAAAAGAAAAAGAATGGAAAAGAACTTCTGATATTTAGAAATCCATGTCAGTTATTTTACTGATCTGAGGTTTAGATTTAAGGTTGCCACCAGAAGTTTATAGCATGTGTTCAACCACATTATCACATTAATTCTCTAAGACAAAACTGGGTAGAGAGAAGGAGATTTATGGGCTGATAATTCATATTCTGTGTCTTTATACCTCAATTATTAATTTTTCAAATGTTTCCTACTGGCAAGTCTATAGTAGCCTGTCTTTTTAAGGGAGTTAGTACCATATTTGACTGCTTTCATTATATGGGAACCTTAAAAAATACTTGCCAGTAGTTCTGTGCCTATTTAGTGCATAAG